TTTTGGCAAACTCCAAGCGGGCTGTCATGTGCCTTTTACTGAGGAGTGGCTTCTGTCTGGCCACTCTACCATAAAGGCCTTATTGTTGGAGTGCTGCAGAGATGGTTGTCCTTCTGGAAGGTTATCCGGTCTCCACAGAGGAACTCTGGAGCTCTGTCAGAGTGACCATCGGGTTCTTGGTTACCTCCCTGACCAAGGCCCTTCTCCCCCGATTGTTCAGTTTGGCCGGGCGGCCAGCTCTAGGAAGAGTCTTGGTGGTTCTAAACTTTCATTTAAGAATGATGGAGGCCACTGTGTTCTTGGGGATCTTCAATGCTGCAGAAATGTTTTTGTACCCTTCCCCAGATGTGTGCCTCGACACAATCCTGTCTCGGAGCTCATGGCTTGGTTTTTGCTCTGACATGCACTGTCAACTGTGGGACCTTATATAGACAGGTGTGTGCCTTTCCAAATCATATCCAATCAGTTGAATTTACCACAGGTGGACTCCAATCAAGTTGTAGAAACATCTCATGGACGATTAATGGAAACAGGATGCACCTGAGCTCAATTTCGAGTCTCATAACAAAGGGTCTGAAAACATACGTAAAAACAATTTTTACTTCCTTATCCAACTCATGTGTGCAAACCAATTATACATATATTATAATAATTAGTTAATTGTAGGCTATCCAATTCCTGCTGTAGGGTATCCAATTCCTACTTGCAGGCTATTCAATTCTTGCTACTGTTGGAGACAATGTAAATCAGTTTCCTTAGATTTACTCTCTGGATCAATTTACTTAGATCCTCTGAACCAGTTCACTGGCCAGATTCATTATTATAGGAAAATAGTTCAACCAAATTGAACCCCAACATTTTGTGGATGAGGAGGACAAGAGATATTTCACCATTAAGGCTCGGCTGGAAAACAGACAGTCCCTCACAAATAATTTTTAATAAGGTCTCTTACCTTTTATAGTTGTGGCCAGAGGGATGTCTGGGTCCAAGCCGAGCGAAACAGATAAAAAAGTCAGGTCGCTCTCATCTGGGTCACAGCACCAAATGTTGTGGAAAACTCAATCCAAAGATTAAGGCATAGACCATATAATTGTATAATAGAAACATCTTTAATCAAGCAGTTGCGAGGGAGATCTGTCTCTGATTTCACAGGGAAGAGCTCCAAGAGTAAATTGTTACATGTCCCTTATATAGTGGGAGGTGACAATACAATCATATTGTTACACAACAGTTATTTATACAAGCAACAGTTCCAGAACACAATGGCATTGTGTTAGAGTGCAGACATACCAGGAGTCTATGAAAGGCATAACATCACAGTCCAACACAGAACATATCCCTTGAGAAGTTACAACAGCTCACCCCAAATTCTGCCACCACAAAAGGATGACATTCAGCAGAAATTATACAAGGTGAATTTCCTCTCTGTTAGTATAATCATATAGTGATAAACACATTGCAATTCATTCAGACTGTGAGTAACACACACACACACACACACACAGTACTTCAATGTTTGGTATAAAACAGTCAGTCAGGGACATCTACAGGAGTGATGACCAGTGGGGCTGAGTTATCAATAGTACCAACATGAAAGAAAAAATGGATAGAATTTCTCAATGAAGGTGGCAAGGGATGAGTAAGAAACTGAATACTGGACCTCACATGGGTAGAAGTTAGCTGACCTCTCATATCCACACACACCCCCACTTCTGGTGATTCCTCCGGGATTAGAGGGTGGACCAAGAGACCCACTCGAAAGTTGGGTAATCTCCAGACTCTAGCACACCCAGGTACTTCCCTTTCTGCCGCGGTGTGATGAATCATTGTCATGTTGATGGACTTGCTCATCCGAAGGAGATCTAAATCCACGATTCCCCATTCTTCCCCTATACGGCACACTCATGAGAAAAACACCCCAAGTGATCAATCTTCACTTTCCTGGGCAACTTTCCAAACCGAGTTCATTGGGTTGCATGGCATACGTTATCCATCCTTTTCCACATACTCACTTGTTTTCCTATCTTTCATGAGCTGGGGATGTGGTTGTGTCTGGGTTAGATCAGTGGGTCTAGAATCATCACCACTATGGAGAGAATCACACTTTATTAGAATAATTAAATAAATATCAATATGGGGGACGGCATTTTACTGCTCAGTACATTACTCTAGGACACATGTATAGTGATGTGCTGTATCTGGGATCTAGAGTCTCATCCACTGTGAAGTGAAAAATAGTCTATAAAAATGAGAAGAAAATAACATCAATATGGGGGACGGCATGTTTACTGCAGGACTTAATGTACAGTACACTACTGTAGACATATGTAGCCTATAGGTTGTTATTGATAACAACATAAGTATACTGTAGAAATGAATGTGTCATGTTATTTCAAGTAATCCCGGTACGTGAAGATATTAATATTCATGTGAAACTCTAGGTGGGTGGACTGGAGAGTAGATCACACTGACCTGCATGTCTTCTGATGGTTTCAAATTCTAGAATATAGAGAAAGAGCTTGTCAGATTTGGGGAAACTATGGAACATGATGACAAATCTCCCTCTCTTAATCTCCAGACTTTAATGATAAGGTGAGGGATATTTTTTTTAAATTCAAGTTCAGAACCAGATACATATCCAAAGTGACATGGCTGTAAAAATACATCACTCTACCATAATATACTGTAGTATACCTACAAACAACAAAAATATGATATGAAGACATCAAATATATTTTAAATCCAATTCAGTGTCATTAATTTACCTGGACACCCCTTCATGTTTACAAAATCTGTGGGTAAATTCAACAAATAAAACCAATTATAATTCCAGTTCATTCAAGTGTGAACATGTTTTAATACAACAAAATATAATTATTGTTCTGAACATTGCCATCGCAGTGAGTAAAAATTAATTCCAATACAGTTATATTTTACCACATAATTATGACTAATATTTGTGCTATTTGTAAGCCCTTAGAAATGGGCTCTCCAACCCTGTTCCTGGAGGGCTACCATCATGTAGGTTTTCACTCCAACCCTAATCTAGTGCACCTGATTCTAATAATTAGCTGGTTGATAAGTTGAATGAGGTCAGTTACAACTAAGGTTGGATCGAAAAACCTATAGGAAGTTAGCTCTGTAGGAACAGGGTTCCTGAGAATATGTATTGTATATTGACCATAATGGTCTAGTAATGCATCATGTATATCTCCTACTTACCCAGCTGATCAATGAGTATCTCTACAGACAAACAGATTAATTCAAGTCAATTAAAGCATTCTTAAAGGTGAATAATTAAATTAATTGTTGACAGGGGGATGGGGACCGTGAAAACAATGTGATAAAAAAACTATGTCAAATATGTAAGGATTTAAAATCCATGAAACTAGCTGTTGTACTAGCATCCATTTCTGTAACATATTCATGGATTGGGAATTGTTTGTCTCCAATTGTTGTTTGGGATCCCAATATAAATTGGGAGTTTTAAAAAAAAATGACACATTGATGCAAAGGAGTGTTGGACACAACTTACTCAGCCTACAATCCTTGTCATCTTGAACTTTTTCTGCAGACATAAAGAGAACAGTTAGCGTGAGCATCCTTAATGAACACATCTCACATCCATGGAGAAGACAATTATTAAAATCTGAACATATGACACACTGATGCATAGGACCAGGAGTGTTAAACTCATTCCATAGAGGGCCTAGTGTCTGCTGGTTTTGGTTATTTCCTTTCAATTAAGGACCTAGACAACCAGGTGAGGGGAGTTTCTTACTAATCAATTACCTTAATTAATCAATCAAGTACAATGGAGGAGTGAAAACCCACAGACACTTGGCCTTCTGTGGAATGAGTTTAACACTTGCATAGGACTGTTGAACACTACTAACTCAACTCAAGATTGTGTTCATCTTTAACTGCAGACATAAAAAAGAAACAGACATTAGAGAGAACATCCTTAATGAACACAAGAACCTCAGTGTTTTCTCTGACAAAGTTCCATTTATGGAGGAGAACTGCATGTTTGACATTACTTACCTAGCTCTTGACTGTGTTTAGCTTTGGATGCATCTGGAGGCATGAAAATAGATAACAGTTCACAAAAGGACCTACTCAAGATGTTTTTTGACAAAGTCCTTTCCATGAAGGAGCCAATTACACTGATGTGATTCAGAAACCACACACTGTGATTTAAAGAAACCTTATATTAAATAATCTAGCATTTTTGTAGAGAAAGTTGTTTCAAATAAAAATGGGTTTGCCCTATACATAGATTTTTTAAAAATACAAATCCTTAAATACACATGTACAGTATCTGACCAATGTCTGCTTTTGTCACGACTTCCGCCGAGGCTGCCTCCCCTCCTTGTTCGGGCAGGTTTCGGTGTTCATCGTCACCGGCTTACTAACTACTGCCGATCCCATTCTCATCACTCCACTTGTCATGTCTTGTCTTGTCAATCACACACACCTGGTGCTCATTCCCCTAATTAGTATGTATATAAGTGTTCCCTCTGTTCCCCTTGTCTTTGTGAGTGATTGTTTATTGTGAGAGCGAGGAGCTCGGTTGAGCTACTCTTCTGTTTGTATTTGCCAAGGTGGAATATTTTCCTTTGTATTAGTTTCGTTTTCACGCTGGGAGCGTTTTATTTATGTAAACGTAATAAACTCTGGACTTCGGTGTTTTACCTCCTGCGCCTGACTCCTTCATTCACACCTCATCACAGCTTTTTAATTCTAAAGGTCAAATAGGGGGGTTCTTATATTTGTCCTGTTTCACTGCATGTACAAGTGGTTAACCTGTACGAGTGTGAGGTGTGAAATGGAAATGTGTTTTTTGCATATCCCAACTCTCCCTGAGATACTCTCTGAGAGTGGGGTCATGGCCAGGGATCAGATTGATGACGACCCTGGAGCAATTAGGGTTAAGTGCCTTGCTCAAGGGTAGATCAACTGATTTGTTTCACCTTGTCGGCTCAGGGAATCGAACTAGCAAGCTTTCGGTTCTAGTACCCAACTCCTTGTGTATGCCACTCTGGAAACTGCACTGTAAAACATTTACATTCAGTCAAATAAACTATTTAATTAGTTTTCTATTACCGTAGTCATTGGACAAACGATTCCAGTGCCAGATGGTGAAAGCTAATATGACCACAAGGACAATGCTCAGAGAGACAATCACTGCAAAGGCCACTCTCCATGTGTCTGTATGAACAAGGAACAGCTCACCTGCAAGACACAAATCAACTGAGATCAGTGACATGCTTACCACTGCTACCAAATAATAAAATTGAAGGGATATTTCACTCATAAAGAATGATTTGTCAAACTTTTACAGACCTCAAATGCAGACTAATGTCAAAATGAAACCACATCCCATGACATCAGGTGTGTTGATCAAGCTATATGCCTCAATGCCAAATGAATGGAACATTTGAGAACCATCTCATTTCCTGGTTTTCCATTCATTTGGGGTGGAGGCATAAAGCTGGATCTACAAAACCAACATTTCATTTTGACATTAGAATACTTTAGTGTTCTTAAAATGTCGACAAACTTGTATCCAATTGTCCTATTTATGTTTCATTATTACTCAGCCTTTGTAATACAAAAGCATATAAAACATGAAAAGTGTTTCATATCAGCTAAACAATAATATGATGTTGTGCAACTCACTAGGGATGTGAAACTCTGTCTCCATGTTGATCGGCTCACTGAGTTGCCTCTGTCTGAGTCTGCAGGTAAAGTGGTTGGTGTCAGTCTCCTTTACAATGGTCTTTAGTTTGACTATGTAGAACCCCTTATAGTCCCTGTCTGTCTCTGAAGGTCCAGCAGACAGAGTGACCCCTTCACTGTCCAGCCACTCCAACTCAGGCTCTGGGAACCAGCCTTTAGATACACACAGCAGACCCATCCCTCCTTCTTTCTGTCCCTCAATGGAAAGCTCTGGCTTGGATCCTATAGCTACAGACACAAAGGGAGACTGGACATGAAGTACTGCTGAGATTGGAAACAGAATCATGTACTTGAAGGAACAGAGGATGGCTATTATATTTATGGGAAAATAAATTAACCTGTTATGTGGACTTGAATGGTGGCATCATCATAATGGGTCTCAGACTGAACAAGACATTTGTAAAGTCCATCGTCAGTGCCTTGTACCCTGGTCAGTTTCAAAGAGGTGTTGCCCTTCTTCAGCTCCTCTTTAAACAATGATGTCCTTCCTTCGTAGGAGCGGATCTGATCATGGTATTTGTCTCTGCCGTCTTGGTAGAGATGGACTTGAGTATTTGACTGATGGACTGGGAGGTTGAATCTGAACCAGACAACTCTCATGTTCTCAGCGCTGATGTTGGGTTTGATGTAACAGGGCAGAATGATGTCATCACCAGCCACAGCAGCAATGGCACGAGTCGGACCAAGAACCTCAAAACTTTCTGGAGAGAGAATCAACCATTCAGATTTGACAAACCTCACTAAAGACACATGTTGGTGCAAGTCATACTCAGGTACTGATGTGTCACAACAACTATCATGTAGATCATCATATACCAGTGCTGGTCAGGATTATGTACACTATCACACACACACACACATATACACACACACATACACACACATACACACACACATATACACACACACATATACACACACACACACACAAAGACAGAATGTGAGGGTACTGTACCAGAGTCTGCTCTGTGCAGGAGAAGCAGGAGAGTCACACACCAACATCCTGTCCCAGTCATCATGATGACCTCTTTACCCTGAGATCAAAGACAGACAGACTCTCTTAAGTATGTCAACTTTATCACAATATAGTTTAAAGTATGGGCTGGAGTGAGAGAGTAACATTTAAAAGTTAATGTTGGATTGGGACAATTTATCCACGTAAACATAAAGGGAGAAAGGAACCAAGATCAACTGAAAATCCTGCAAGGCAGGAATGGTCACAGATGAAAGGGGAAACCCAGATAGGTCACACAGGGTAGAAATCTGAAGCATCTGGGGGCTTCCACTCACCACCAAATATGGTGATAAGAGGAAGTCCAGTGGAATGCAAATACGTCCTAAAATTAGCCAATAGGATCTCGCTATCTTGTGCTTGGCTCTACCCACCACCTTGCATGTTCTGTCCACTGTGCTTTATTGGCTCCCAATGTAAACAACACTGCTTTTCTATCTTGGGTAGTTATCATAATCTTTACTTTCGTCTCCAAAAGTGAATGTGAAACTCCTGAACTATCGCACTGACTTCAAGTTAACACTAGAGGGCAGTAGACACACATTGATCAAAGGGACATTACATTTACATTTTAGTCATTTAGCAGACGCTCTTATCCAGAGCGACTTACAGGAGCAATTAGGGTTAAGTGCCTTGCTCAAGGGCACATCGACAGATTTTTCACCTAGTTGGCTTGGGGATTAGAACCAGCGACCTTTCGGTTACTGGCACAATGCTCTTAACCACTAAGCTACCTGCCGCCCCTGGCAGATGGGCTGTGGTGCTGTAGAGGGGTAAGTACATCTTCATGTTAGGAAATACACATCACTTACAATCATTTTTCAGATCATATTTACATGATTTTTTTGTTTTTTTATGATGTGCTGACTATTATCAAGTGGTGCCTACTGGTACTTACGTCTATAGAAAATGAGAAATTATACGTCCATGCATATCCTGCTGAGACCCGAAAAAAATAGTTTTTTTGTAATATTTTATTTTACATAACATAAGTGCTTTTGTGAAGAAGAAAAAATCATCTTACCAAGAAAAGTGCAAAATCGTCCTTTGTAGTGGTCATTAGGACATAAATACGAAAACATTTACATTACAGTCAATGGGTAGAGTAGGTGGAAAACATAGTGGCGGCATCAGGCTGTCCACTACAGAGGACATTTCTTGATAAGCTCTGATTTAAGGTGAAAATATTACACATTCCAGAAAACTCACTTAACTATTCCTAAGATTTTTACTTACTAGAAACAATTTGAAAAAATATATATAATTAATAACTACAAACACTTTTCAAATGTCCATAAAATGTGCTAACTTTGATGGTAGACATTTTTTTAAAGAACCAGGAAGATAACGTTGTCAAGGTCACACCTCCACACATAATACAGTGGTTTGTATGGCCTCAGAGATACTGACCAATAACTGATGTCCACTAGAGAGGACATAAATTGCTGGGTCTCAGGAGCATATATCAAAGAATTCAACAGTTTTTGCAACTTCCTGGTAGAGGACAGTGCTCTACATCATGGTGCTACGTGATCTGGTAAAATGCAATGCACTATATTATGAGCTGTAGTAGGGTATCGTTTGAGACTAACCCTCAGAGTTCGACCATACCAGTCTCAGAGCAGAATAGGATGACATTTGGGACACAAACTGACTGCTGAGACAGGCAAGTAAAAGGAACAGGAAACAGATGTTATTAAGTATATAAAACATGATCACAATACATATAAAGTATTACATATATAGTATTACATGTACTGTGGCACCCCAGAGCAACATTTGAAACATTTATCTCTATAACCCCATAATCATAATGAACAGTACACATTCAGCAGTACACATTCAGCAGTACACATACAACAGTACACATTCAGCAGTACACATTCAGCAGTACACATACAACAGTACACATTCAGCAGTACACATTCAGCAGTACACATACAGCAGTACACATTCAACAGTACACATTCAGCAGTACACATACAGCAGTACACATTCAGTATGCAGACTGTCACTGAGTGACTCATGCTCCATACCTCGTCCATACTGAATGTCACATAATGAACAGTGTCACCCCCATTCTCTGTGGACTGCTGGCTTGGACTACAGGAAACCCAGGGCCTTCTGACACTGACATAAAGCACACTAGAGGGCAGTAGACACACACTGATCAAAGGGACATGGTAGCTAAGCTTCAATATGTATGGTGCTGTAGAGAGGAAGAACATCATCATGTTGGGAACCAGTCCTCTTCTTCCATCTCTTCTCATCTACCTCCTGCTCCTCATCTACCTCCTGCTCCTCATCTACCTCCTCTACCTTCACCTCCTGTTCTTATTTATCTTCCTCCTCTCATTCCTCTCCTCCTCTGAGATATAATCCCCATCTCAGTCCCAGAGCCAGTAATGTGTTGGCTGTGGTTAGTGGTGATGTGAGACTACTGAGACAGGCAGGAAACAGAGACAGGAAACACTATAGTCCTCCTGGAAAGGGTGGCACGCATCCCATAACACACTGCAAAGAGGAGAGGAGAAAACACACCCACTCTGTTCCAGACTCCAAAACAAGAGAACAGTCCTATCTACAGTATGTAGTCCAAAAGGTGATGACTGCAGTAGGATAGATAAAAGGTGATGACTGCAGTAGGATGGATAAAAGGTGATAACTGTAGTAGGATGGATAAAAGGTGATGACTGCAGTATAAACTGTAATAGGAAGACTAGTGAGTTGACATTCTGTGTATGACTGTATGGTTTGTTGACTTTATGGTTTGTATGGGTGTTTGGTTTGTGTTATATGTGTCTGTGAGTAGTGTCATGCAGTGACTACTAAAGAGAGTACTGCAGCTCAGGGGCTAGATCAGATTACAGGGTGTGGGGGTGGGAGGGGAGATCAGGTGTAATCAATAGGAGAGCAGTGAAAGTGGAGAGAGAGAAAGAGAGGAGATAGTGAAAGGGTAGAGCAGGTGAGAGAGAATGAGATAAGGGCCACTGCACTGAGGTAGGACAGACAGACAGACAGACAGACAGACAGACAGACAGACAGACAGACAGACAGACAGACAGAGACAGACACACACACACACACACACACACACACACACACACACACACACACACACACACACACACATAACAATACCCTGAGCATATAGCAATTGTCTTTTACAAAGTGTGTGTGTGTGCTGTTCCTCAATGAACAAATGATAACCCACTCTGCACAGTATGTTCACCCTGCTCAAAGCTTTAGTCCCAGTAAGAGAGCTCTGTCCAGTCAGCAGACATCATGTATATTCATCTGAAGCATAAGGCTCATAAAGCAGGAGATGAACTGGGGCTGGGGAACATGGAACACATCTGAAACACAACGCTGCTCTGGGCACAACCATGTTGACTTGTTGTGTATGTATGTCTGTATCTTATTCCAACGGGGGGCAAAATGGGACAGCCCACAGTAGAGATCGGTTATAAAAAGCTAAGGCGTACAGTACAGGACGATACTCATTTCGCTCTCCTCCTCCACGGTTTGGTCCGGCAGAGAGAGTGAGAGACGGAGAGAGAGAGCGAGAGAGAGAGAGAAAGAGAGATCGTGTTGTTTCGGGTTGCTACCATCGGCATACGGCAGGTGAGTTCGGTAGAGCTCACACGGAGCTTAGAGACTACGAGCCTGGCAGTTTATCTATCTCGTGTTAATTATAGCAAGTGTCCTTCTTTCAGCACCGCGGCTTGTTAACAGCTCCATCAGCACCAGAGGAGAGTGGAGATTTGGAGAGCCCCTCCCCGCCCGAGGAACAGCCAGAGCGGGTACAGTCAGAGCGCAGCCCGGTTTTCAGTTTCAGCACCACCAGCAGGGAAGAGCGGAGCTGTCCAAACATCCAGCAGTTTGTGACCGCTATCGCCGGGTGGACCATCCACACAACACAACACCCACAAGAGCTAGGACCGGGTGTAATCTACCGGAAAATAGCCTACAGCCTGGATATTTATTTCAGAATGGCGTCAAAAGGAATGGGAGTTCTCCTGCTCGGGATTTTTGCTGTGACTGTCTCCCAGATTTCTGCTTTCCCCACGCCTGCCGAGGATGGTGAGTGCATGGCCTGCTGGTAGCCTACATCTGTGGTGACTGGTTTGTGTGAATATTTTTAGTTTGCTAGGCCTATAGCCCACTTTTAAAGTGCATTTTAACTAGGCCTAGGCTATATTTAAAACCTTTAAATCGTTTTAAAGGATATTTAAACATTATAAAACGCAAATTCAAGTAAAAATAGAGCAGGAAATAACAGTGAAATAGAGCAGTAAAATAACAACAAAGAGGTTTTGACGTGTGTCGGTTGCATGCGACGTAAGGCTGATTGCGTTTTATTTCCAAAGCAGTTTAATCTTTTGTTTGTTAAACCGATTATGACGCTGCTGTGTCCGGTTGGTCGGGAGTTGGGACTCACTGTAGCCATAGACTATACCCTCTTTCTCATCAATAAACCATATGAACCAAAATTAAACAAATTGAATGAATACACTAGGCCCACATGACCAAGCAGGCATAACTTAAAAATACCCTGATGATGTTGTACCCCTCAAATTCAAGTCAGTGGTTTTCTCTGTGGTTCATAGGAGAAAGTTGCCTTTAGACACTGATTGAAGATCGGTTTTTCACAAGTTAAGGTTATGATTTGAAGCAGTCAGGTTAGCTGGTCCTACATTTGTTTCTACCTAAATGACAACTTTTAGATGTCTCAGAAGATGTGATAGTGAATGGTGATGATGATGATGATGAAGACGATAAGGATGATGATGAGGATGATGATAATGATTATTATTATTATTATTATTATTATTATTATTATTATTATTATTATTATTATGTGGTTTTATTTTCCCTGCAGATAAAGCTGTAGTTTACAACAGACAATTGACTGAGGAGAGACCTATCCAGGAGCAGGTAAACTATCTCTCTCTCTCTCTCTTTCGGGAAGTGAGAGCGGTGATCCTGTCTCTGAAGGAGAGCAGGAAGAGAGAGAGCGAGAGAGAGGAGAGAAGAGAGGAGAGAGGAGGGAGGTATGGAGAGAGAGAAAGGCAGCGAGAGCGAGAGCGATAGATAAGAGAGGATCGCATAGGATGAGAGAGAGAGATAGAGGACGATGAGAGAGAGAGGATATATCTCTTCTATCTATCTCTCTCGCTACGCTCTCTATCTCTCTCTCTCTCTCTCTCTCTCTCTCTCTCTCTCTCTCTCTCTCTCCTCTCTAAACTATCCACGGTGCTATCTCCCAACTAATATTATGTCAAATAGACTTTATGGAGGGGAGAGTTCTCAAACGTCAACAACGTCATATCAAACCAGACTGGAGCAAAAGTAAACAAATAAATCAATGTTTACACTGTTTATGTTCTTTTCCACAGATTGCAGAGGCAGATGATGTGAAAGCTGCAGTGGAGTCTGCAGGTAAGCGGATACTTCACAGCCAATCAATCAGTATTGTTATTACATACATTTGAATATGTACAGTATATGTGAATAGTGTGTCAGAAATATTTTTGTTGTCTCTTGGTGTCTTCACAATATATAACTGTTTTATCTTATTTTTCAATATAATGCAGTATGGTCTGGTGTTGTTCTTACCTTTAACTGTTCTGTATTGTGTAGGGTGTCCACCCACTCAGCCCAGAGTTGGTGAAAACGCACTTTGCTGATCAAATTTAACTTCCTTATGTTAAATTAATTACATTAATTTTACCAATACAAATATGATTATTCATGTTTTAATCGTTCAGTGGGGTCTTTCTCTAACACAGTGGTTCCCAAACTGTGGGGCAGGTAGTATTTTGTAATTTGTGGTCATCGTCTTGAAAGTTGTTTCCACCGGTCACAAAAAGTAAAAAATTAGCCACAAGCTGAATTTAATGTAAAAGGCTGAAAATACAAAGCTTGATATACGCTCAGTGCTTCATTGACATTTCACAGAGATATGCTTGTTTTTGTGAGAACAGGAATTTCGAATTAATATGAAAAGCGTATACTAAGATATGAAAATACTACATGTCATGTCTCAAAATCTATATCCATCTTACCTCTATATTGTTTTATGTCCTGTGGATTGGAGAAGAAAGATGACTAGTTCAACAGGAAAGTGAGCCTGTCAAGTAGCCAGTAGCCTTAATTCATGCAGAATCCAGCCTAGCTGACGCGATGCCATTTTCCTGATGTTTGACCACTTTCTTTCTCTGGCTCCATTGTTTCAGTCACCTTAATTTTGGCCATCCTACAAGGGTAAACACTCCAATAACCTTTAAACGGATTATTATAGAGACATAATATTTGGACCATTGGTTTTCTTAGACAATTATCTACACAGTTAACATATTAAAATGTGTGTTTTTGATTGGACACCCTATACATGTATTTTATGTTTTGTGTGGACCCCAGGAAGAGTAGCTGCTGCATGTGCAACAGCTAATAGGGATCATAATAAAATAAACGGTTCCAAGACCACCTACTGCAGTCCGTGGCTCAGGCCCCGTATTCACTACATATTCGTCGCCAAACCCACTGGCTCCAGGTCATCTATAAATCACTGCTAGGCAAATCCCCGCCTTATCTTAGCTCATTGGTCACCATAGCAACACCCACCCGTAGTATGCGCTCCGGCAGGTATATCTCACTGGTCATCCCCAAAGCCAACACCTCCTTTGGCCGCCATTCCTTCCAGTTCTCTGCTGCAAATGACTGGAACGAATTGCAAAAATCTCTGAAGCTGGAGACTCTTATTTCCCTCACTAACTTTAAGCATCAGTTGTCAGAGCACCTTACCGATCACTGCACCTGTACACAGCCCATCTGAAATTAGCCCACCCAACTACCTCATCCCCATATTGTTATATATTTTGCTCATTTGCACCCCAGTATCTCTATTTGCACATCATCTCTTGCACATATATCATTCCAGTGTTAATACTAATTGTAATTATTTTGCACTATGGCGTATTTATTGCCTTACCTCCATAACTTGCTATATTTGCACACATTGTATATATATTTTCTGTTGTATTTTTGACTTTATGTTTTGTTTACCCCATATGTAACTCTGTGTTGTTGTTTTTATCGCACTGCTTTGCTTTATCTTGGCCAGGTCGCAGTTGTAAATGAGAACTTTTTCTCAACTGGCTTACCTGGTTAAATAAAGGTAAAATAAAAAATATAAATAAATCATAAAGTGTCTATTCATTATAATCTAAAAGGCAAAACGGATCCTAGATCAGCACTCCTATTCCCAGATGTTTTATGAATATGGACCCTGAATTTCACTAGTCCTTGTGGTCTCCCATCTAGGGGTTGACCAGGCCCAACCCTGTTTAGCTGCAGAGGAAAGCCAGCCAGGCCCAACCCTGCTTAGCTGCAGAGGAAAGCCAGCCAGGGCCAACCCTGCTAAGCTGCAGAGGAAAGCCAGCCAGGCCCAACCCTGCTTAGCTGCAGAGGAAAGCCAGCAAGGCCCAACCCTGCTTAGCTGCAGAGGAAAGCTAGCCAGGCCCAACCCTGCTTAGCTGCAGAGGAAAGCCAGCCAGGCCCAACCCTGCTTAGCTGCAGAGGAAAGCCAGCCAGGCCCAACCATGCTTAGCTGCAGAGGAAAGCCAGCAGAGTGATACAAGGTGGTTTGGCTGCTGGCTTCTCTATTTAAAGACACACTATGGAAGTTTAGTTGATGAAAACACACAAATCCTCAGTTTTAGGCTAACAATGTATGGGTGAGGGTAGGTGTGCCCTTTCTGGACAATATTTCTCTCCATAGAATGGACTCCTTTTGGCTCAAGAGGAGCAACCCCAGAGGCAGAAGCTTCGTATAGCTTCTTAAATATTTCCCTCTCCCCCTCAGACACCAAATCTGCTGCGGAGCCTAAAGATTTGAAGGAGGCGGAGCCAGAGCAAGAGAACGATGACTTCACTCTGCTCAAGTCCCTGGCCGAAGGTCAAAGGTCAAAAGAGACCAATGAGACACCAGTCAGAGAGAGCCTGGAGGAGGAGCCTTACTTCCCAGATGAATCAGATTCCACCAAGAACCGCCGGCTAGCCGAAGACTATGACTCAACCAAGATGGAAAACAGCAAGTACCAAGGTATCTAGTTTAGTCTGTTCATTCTACAGTAAGTACCAAGGTATCTAGTTTAGTCTGTTTTTACTACAGCAAGTACCAAGGTACCTAGTTTAGTCTGGTTATACTACAGTAAGTACCAAGGTATCTAGTTTAGTCTGTTTATTCTACAGTAAGTACCAAGGTATCTAGTTTAGTCTGTTTATTCTACAGCAAGTACCAAGGTATCTAGTTTAGTCTGTTCATTCTACAGCAAGTACCAAGGTATCTAGTTTAGTCTGTTCATTCTACAGTAAGTACCAAGGTATCTAGTTTAGTCTGTTTATTCTACAGTAAGTACCAAGGTATCTAGTTTAGTCTGTTTTTACTACAGCAAGTACCAAGGTACCTAGTTTAGTCTGGTTATACTACAGTAAGTACCAAGGTATCTAGTTTAGTCTGTTTATTCTACAGCAAGTACCAAGGTATCTAGTTTAGTCTGTTTATGAATGTACTACAGCAAGTACCAAGGTATCTAGTTTAGTCTGTTTATTCTACAGTAAGTACCAAGGTACCTAGTTTAGTCTGTTTATGAATGTACTACAGCAAGTACGACTATCATTATCTCCGCAAGGTTATGCCTTTAAAAGCTCAGTGGGCTATTAGACTATATTGGGAACCTATTAGGTGTATTTGACTTTGTCTTCTGTCCCTAACCAGACCGAATGTTACATTAATGGCCTCTTGGACAGACTCTTGGACTGACTCTTTACTGTATATAACTATGGTTGACCTATAGACCAAATCTGAATGTTTCTAAACAAAGCTGTTCTGGTGGTTCCAGGTAGACAAAGGGTCCCTGTCTTTGTCTTTTTTCCTGTCCTGTCTGGGCCTGTTGGCTCTGAGCCTGTGTGTCTGATAGGGCTCTTCCCTGTGTCTGATCCCTCTATAGTGAGGTCAGGTCTGAGGCCCTGCGCTGCTGTGAGAGAGAGAGAGAGAGAGAGAGGATTATCTCTCCCCAGGCTGTTGGCTGAGACAGTGGAAGTGCTAAGGCTAAGCTACAAGCCTTAAATCCTCTTCCTCCATCGCTACAGGAGACTAT